TACTTTATACTAAGTTAGGCATTGGTGACCAATCAGACCACATGTTACAGGTTACTTTATAGTAAGTTAGACATTGGTGACCAATCAGACCACATGTTACGGGCTACTTTATAGTAAGTTAGGCATTGGTGACCAATCAGACCACATGTTACAGGCCACTTTATAGTAAGTTAGGCATTGGTGACCAATCAGACCACATGTTTAAGGCTACTTTATAGTAAGTTAGGCATCGGTGACCAATCAGACCACATGTTACAGACCACTTTATAGTAAGTTAGGCATTGGTGACCAATCAGACCACATGTTTAAGGCTACTTTATAGTAAGTTAGGCATTGGTGACCAATCAGACCACATGTTTCACCCAATCAGACCACATGTTTCAGGCCACTTTATAGTAAGTTAGGCATTGGTGACCAATCAAAACCATGTTATTATTAAAATCTTATTATTAACACTCTTCCAATTGAGAGTTTTAGTTAACAGCGTTTATGACAAAAACTGAAATAGATGTGATTACAAACCACACCGGTAGTTTTAATGTTTTGAATGTCAAATCCATTCAAACAAAACTGTTAATCAGAATCATTGTGAATCAAGGTGTTAAATGCTGAACAAGTGCTAAATCCTCCATTTTTAATGTAGTGGTAGACTAACTTCATCTTGTCAAAACAGACGGCAAAATAGTTCAGCCATGTTGGTTTTGAAAAAAGTCAAAGACTAATTTTCCACATAATAAAAATGAGACCTTAGCTAGTGGCAAATATTTTTAAAATGGCTCCTTGTATCAGAAAGACATTGTTGGCATGCTGTGTTAAAGAAAGAGGTGATTCCAAAGTTAGTGACTTTTGTTTTCCAGCCTGAATTTATCATTTCTTAAACTGCATTTTAATCATAAATGAATATAGCTAGTGCATTTTAGACTTTGATGTTTCTCTTGTGTGGAAATTTCAGTTTGTACAAATCACCCCTGAATTTGCGGTTTTGAACTAACTTTAGAAGTTGCAACATTGTAACACAAACATATTTTAACAGTTGTATAGTCATTTCGTGTCAGGTATGATGAAAAAGTGGATGATATATTTGAAAAAAATATCAGTTAATAAACTCCTAAACAAAAACAAACATGAGCATTCATTACTGAAATAATACTCGAATATTGCTAATAAACATAGTTAAAAATATGAAATTCATTAATTACTACAGAAAAATGGCTTATGTCAAAAAAGAACCAGTCTGAAAAGGGTATCTTTTTTGCATTTTGGCTGTCTTGAAAGGGGCAATGGTCAACAGAACATTGACAAGAGGGCAGAACACCCCCAGATTGTTTTAAAAGCGTTAACATGTGGGTTAAGACAAACATAAAATACCAGCACTTTTCGCTTATACAAAAATACTTGCATTCTAAATGGCAGTTACATTTAATCCATTCGTCAACTTTCACAAAAATACAAAGCTGTTTTCAATGACCTGAATTCATGTGTGAACCAATTTATTCATATAGTAATTGAGAGTTTTATCCTAGAATCTCATAATATAGGAAGTAATTTGAAAGAGGAAACCTACCTCGCAGCATTTGAAGGCAACATGGAGAAACTCATTGGGACAGTCACCACACAGCAAAGTAAATGTATCACGGTCTACACCAAAGTTCTGTAGAAAAATGGACAAAAAACAAGTAGTAAAATAAATTCATGGCTACCCTTTACTATATAAAAGTTGTAGGTATCTGCAAAAATAAAATTCAAAGAATACTGGAAATGTCTTAAAATTTAAACATTAAAAATGTTGAAAGCAAAGTACTTTAGATGGCATTTCTGATATATCATCAACAAAGTTCTTGATGTCAGCAGTTACCATGGTAATACAACATTACCTCAAGACGTGGTAATACATCTGGATCAGCTGGTATCCTAGCAATGGTTTCACATAATATAATACCATAGGAAAATAAATCTGCCTGCAAGGAGAAAAGAGAGGAGATATCAATCACAATGAACAAATATTGTTGCAATAAACCACAATGTTTTATAATGTTTGCTGCATGCACTGCATTTTAGAAACGCCTCTAGGACTTGCTCACAACTGCTTCATTAGAATAAACCACTGTAGAACAGGTTTTATTTTGTTTATTCATTCAGTCTCACTTGTTAGCAGTTCCCAGCATGCAGTGCATTATTTATCAACAACCCAGTGAAGGTTGTCTGCCTACTCCATAGTAGTTGACATGTGAACAAAGAAAGTCACCCAACTGAAACTGAATGCAATAAATAAATAAATAAGTCAGATACCTGACTGACACTGTCTGCGATTGAACAGGGTTGCATTTATATGCAAATACAGAAAATGACTGTAAACTGTCTGAAGCCAAATCTTGCCAACAATTCCAAACAAACTTAGGATTTCGTAACTTTCTGAAATTGCGCAACGTTATTTCCTGTGACAGCATGCTATTTGAAAGAAAAACTTGGGGTCTCTAAACTAGATTTTGAATTTCTGTTCATATTTTGACTAAATTCAATCCAAAATCGGCTGACAGACAAAAGTTTAACAGTATTGGGAAATCATAAAGTCATTGTTTCCAAAGAAACAAGTTTGGGTACCTAGTCTTTTTATTTGCTTTGAAAAACTTTTCAGTGAGAAAAATATAAAAATATTTGAAATTTTTTATTGTAAGTGTCTCTGATGATAGATCTAATGGTGAAACAAAATGGCAGAAGTACAGAAAAACAATATGCTGCACCAAAGTGCGACCAAAGCTAGATGTCATATGACCCCGTGTCACTAAGTTGCAGGGTTTTTTTTTCCTCGTTTGTCACAGGTGTCTTCGCTTTCAAATCTAAGAGAGGTCTACCTGAGTTACCTATATATCAAAGCAATCAAGTCAAAAATATCACTTTTTACCCAAAATATACCCTGGTACATCATAATTAGATAATTGAAGATATCATCATGAAACAAACAAATCAGAGGGGGGTCCACCAGAGGTACCTATATGTATGTATATGTATGTATATCAAAGCAATTACTTTTTACCCAAAATATTCACCAAAGCTCAGCTCGACAAAATCAGGAGTGGAGCTGAAAATAGGCTGGTGACCCCCAATTTTTCACACTTTTTTCGTAAAATTAATAAATTCTGGGTCTTCTCATTTATAAGTAGGTTACTATCTACCATATATTAGGTTAATTTGTAGTAATATTTACAATGGTAATTAGCAGTACCGGTAAATAAAGTGAATCTGACTGGCATATGGTTATATAACAAATGCATAATCTATATGTACTATGACAATACAGTATACTACCATACGCGTATTATATTCTCACCAATTTTTTGAAAATTTTCAAATTTTATTCCACAAAATCTCATCAACAAACTAGATTCTCACTTATGAAACATTGAGAATTTTGTATCGTGCCAACAACTTGGTGAGTATTTATATTCTCAACATTGAATGGTGAGAATATAAGAATTCATTAAATGCAAAATATCACAGTATTTGCATTGAATTACAATAAACATGTCTATTTCAATGTATTACTCATTCACAAGTAGCCTAATTATGTACATCAAATCTTGTTATGTTAACCAATTTTTCCCAACACAAGTACTGTTGTTATACAAGATACAAAACTTGTCTGAAATTATGTATGAGTTTACACAATAAACACTGCCAAACTATAGATAGTAAGGGTCATGGTGACCTTGCCAAAAAGAAAACAAAGATGCTATAGTTATAGGTAATATTTATTGTATATAATTAGGTGAAATATTTAAATTCAAAATAATCATGTATTTGACGTTATGAAAAATCTTGATACATCATTCGTTTCACTCATTCTGACCTAAAGCACATAATGACCTCTAAGCTACAATCAGCTTGAGTCATCAAGGTCATTTAGAGAAACCAGTCTGTGACATATGTTCAACACTTTTATCAGCAAGCAGTGCCCTAATTCACTTGCACTAAAGCGTTGGGCAGAATTTTTCCAGGTGATGTGTTCTTATTTTGGTCAAATACTATAATTAATAATAATAATAAGGTAATTTACACTGCAGCTGACAAACTCAATCAAAGGCATTCACCAATATACCTTAGAATGAAACAAGAGGTCAACAAACTTTGTCTGTACTGAACAATACCTCAATATTCAGGGCACGTTTAGAACTTCCCTTAAAACTGAGCATAATAATTCAGTTATATATACTACCTCCTGCTTATACAAACTGATGGTGTTGTAAAAAATATTTGATTCATTCGATATTTACAGATGAGAAAAATTAATTAATGTTATTCTACGATTTTAAAAACTAATTCAGAAACTAATTGCATTCACAGGGGGGGGGGGGGAATGATCTGCTAATTTTAAATATATAAAATAAGATTTAATAGATGTTTTTAGGACAATAAAAAGGAGCATTAAACATAGGTTAATGCCACAGACAGGGGTGAACAAACTTTGTATGTCTATACATACACACATGAATCATACCAGTATATTTCAGTCTCAACTATACCCCACTATATAACTCTTGCAAATTTCATTTTTTAATATCTATTAACATTTTACCCTGTAATCAGAGTATCATAAGTTTGATCTATCTAGGAAATGTTTTCTTCATCTATAAATAACATTTTTAGCACATGTTAAAAACAAGCAGCCTGTCGGCTGAGATAGCTCTGCTGTTAGCAATGCACATTTCAATTAAAGAACTGAAGATATCATTAGAAAATTAACAATATGTATAGTATCAAAGCAATTGGACTC